GGAAAAGTAACTTATTTCCTCATACTAAGGCACACAGAGAAGAGGAACCTATGAGTCACAGGACTTGCTCTCAGCACACTGTAGCTGCCATGATTAGTTAATTTTACAATGTTTCAAAATATATAGTAATAGTTTGTAACATACTGGAAAGAATTGCAACTCGGGTCCCTGCAATACCTAGGTCAGGGGTAGGCATAGCAGACTCAGGAATTCTGGGAGTTGAAGTCCACGAGTCATAAAAGAGTCGAGGTTGCCTACCCCTGACCTAGGTGAACAGATAAAATTGGCCAAAAACAGATAAAATGAAGTGTCTAAAAGCAATATTCCAGGATAAGGTAGGAGAATGGGATGGGAAGGAGCTGACTTTTAGGCATTGTGTTAAAGTTAAAGTTATCTCAGATTGTAGCTATAGTTCTATTTTGATACTTTATTAACGATTAGCAGCCTGCTCTTTTTATTCAAAGGATAGCCTTCCCTGAGGTGGACAAGGCTATTTACAAAGGGGTTGCTACTGTAGCTAATGCTGCTTCTCTCAATAAGATGCTTCTCTCAAAAGAAAGCAATTGCTTCATAGAATAAGTCCTTGGGTTACAACCCTAATTGGGGCCAGAATTTCCACTGTTATGCAAAATGGTCGTTAAAAATGTGACTGGGCCGTTTAGTGACAGAAGTCCCGATTGTGGTAATTAAGTGAAAACTGTTCAGTCGTTAGGCTAAATTAACTCACATTTTTCCTGTCCTGGGTGACCTGCCTCTGCTTTACCTGCCCCCACTTGATCTCTCCCTCCCATTTCTGCTCTTTTGGCTGCCCTGCACAGCATGGCGGAGATGAAGAGACTCCGTATTCCGCTGCCACCACCGTCCCCAGCTGACGTTGTTGTCGTCTTCACCTCCCTTTCCATTCCCTCCCTGCCCAGCCTGATCTGGAAAATGCAGCCCCTTCAATGGCCAAAGCCCTGCAAAGCCTCTCCCGCTCAAATCCCAGCCAGCTCAAGTGGATTTTGCCACGGGGATGACGAACAATGGCAACAGCCCCTTCCCCCAGGCAAACTTGAATCGCACGGTGCCTTTGCAGGCAGAAACTCCCTAAGAAGAGTGCAGGACGTGCATCGGCACCAAAACAGGAAGCAAAAAAGTTGCAGAGGTGGAGCTACAACCAACGCGATCCCCCAAAGTCTCTGCACATGCCCCGAGGTTGCGCCGGACGCAAATCTGCTGCACTGTTCTACATTATTTATTCATACTCCACTTTTATACTTATGCTCATCGCCCTGATAGAAGTAAAGTCTTCATCCTGGTTCATCCAAGCCGGGGATAAATAAGCAACATGGCGACTGCTTTGGGAAGAAGGTTACAGCTTATTGAAGCAGAAAGATGGTCCTTGCAAGAAGGAGCAGAGGAGAAGAAAGACAGAGTGAGCACATGGGTAGTAGATTTTTATACCCTCTCTAGCCCTGTTTGGAAGTTTCCTGTTCCTGTGGCATGAACCTTGAGTGTTTCTCTAGGCCTTGATATCTGTGGTTTAATCCTATTATCATATCCTGCTTCCCAGGTGATGGGGCTAATGACTCCTAGAGTTTGGGTGGGGCATGCAGATTTTCTCTTCTTGATTGCTCTGGCTTCAACTTTCTGATGGCTTTACATCTGCATTTGTATGGGGCTAGGTCTTGCTTGGGGCAGAGAGATAGATTTTGGAGCCAAAGTTGGTTTCTGCTTTTTTTAAAAAATACTTTTGAGCAAATATATATTTCTGCCCTTTTAAGATTTCCTTCTCTGGGGCTCTGACTTCCCACAGCCCCAAATCGCTAACAAAAAGAATTAAAACGCACATGCAAAGAAGAGGGAGTCAAGCTATTTTCCAAAGCGCCTGGAGGCAGGACAAGAAGCAACGGGTGGAAACTAATCAAGGAGAGAAGCAATCTAGAACTAAGGAGAAACTTCCTGACTGTGAGAACAATTAACCAGTGGAACAACCTGCCTCCAGAAGCGGTGAATGCTCCAACACTGGAAGTTTTTAAGAAGAGACTGGACAGCCATTTGTCCGAAATGGTATAGGGTTTCCTGCCTGAGCAGGGGGTTGGACTAGATGACCTTCAAGGTCCCTTCCAACTTTACTACTACTACTACTACTACTACTATTACTATTACTATTACTACTATTACTACTACTACTATTATTATTATTATTATTATTATTATTATTATTATTATTATTATTATTATTATTATTATTACACGATGTACTGTATCCACATGTAGAACGTCGCATTTCAAGGCAGGGAATCGGTGGCTTTTCTGATGTCGGGTTGCACTTCCCCCTCAATCCGGGCACGCCGAGTCAGGAATCGTGGAACGGGGTCCAAATAAATTTGCAAGACCAGCGGCATCTCAGCGCCGCAGGGAAAGGC